GCGCAGTGATACTCTCCGCAAACGAACACGGGCAAGTGATGGCGGCGATCTGGTGGGGAAGGTTGTTCCAATGTGTAGCGGCATGGCAAAAGAATGAGGCGGAAAAGGTAACAGTGCGCTTGCGAGGGCGGCCCACTTGGAAAGTGTGCCGTGTACGATGAGATGCTCGGGCTGCGGGGGGGATATAGGGTGGCTGATGAAGCGAGGTGTGATAAAACTTGTGGAAAAGTGAGAGGGCTGCAGTGCGCCGGCGTGTACTAAGGGGAAGCAATTTCAATTCTTTCGTTAAGTAAGATATGCTCGTGCCATATGAATAATTAAAATGAATGAACCTTGCGGCACGATTTTGAACGGCTTCGAGTGCGTTGAGATATTTTTGGTGAGGATTCTATATGGCAGATGCATATTCCAGTTTTGGACGGACTATTGACTGGTAGGCCAGTAGTTTAACCTGTTTGGGGGCGCATTTCAGATAACGCTTGAGAAAACCAAGTGATTTGATAGCAGAAGAAATGATGTTAGTGACGTGTGTGCGCCAGGACAAGTCGTTCGATATAGTAACACCTAGGTACTTGTAAGACTGCGCAGAACACATGGGATTGTTCCTGATTGTGTATGTGTAAGGAAATGGGTCATGCCGACGAGAAAATACGATCAATTTGCATTTCTCAGGATTAAGTTCCATTAACCAACAGTCGCACCATTCCTGTAGACGATTAATGTCCTCCTGAAATTAGTCTTGATTCGATGTGTTAGTAATTGTTCGATAAATGACGCACTCGTCTGCGAACAAATGAACGTTGCAAGACACGTGCGGAGGCAGGTCACTGATGTATATTAGGAAGAGTAAAGGTCCAAGAACAGATCCTTGTGGTACGCCGGAGGTCACTGGTAGGGGACTAGATGCGTGGTTGTTAACTGTAACGAACTGAGATCGGTTTGTCAAGAACGATTTAATCCATCGCAAAATGTCGCGGTTAATGTTCGCAAGAGAAAGTATTAGTAATAGACGTGGGTGTGGTACCTTGTCGAACGCTTTTGCGAAATCTAGAAATATCGCGTCTGTCTGTAGGTTAGAATCTAAGTTGGTATGAACATCATGCAGGAAAATGGCCAGTTGTGTTTCGCAGGAAAAGCCTTTGCGGGACCTATGCTGTGATCAATGAAAGTATTTGTTCGAGTGAAGAAATTTAATAACTTCTGTGTACATGACGTGTTCCGTGAGCTTACAGGGCACACTCGTTAGTGAAACGGGGCGATCATTAAGCGGGCAATTTCTGTCACCTGCTTTGTGGATTGGAACAACCATTCCGACCTTCCAGTCATATGGCGTTTCACCAGTTGAAAGTGACTGCGAAAACAGCAAACACAGGAAAACCGCGGTGACATGTTTAGTATTCTTTAACAGTTTCGAATTAATGTTATCCACGCCGGCTGACGATGTGAGTTTAACATTGTCGATTAACGATGAGATGCCATCTGGAAAAAATGTAATGGTCGACATATGACTTGTTGCGTTGGTACGCGAGAGAAGAGGGGTCATGGTGAACTCTTCTGTAAATGCAGACACAAAGGCTGCATTAAAAAAAGTTCGCGCATTCCATATCGTCGAACGTTTCATCTTCTTCCTTGGTAAGTGTTACACTGTGCCTTTCTTCAGAATTTATCACCTGCCAGAATTTCTTTGTGTTATTGATTAAAAGTTTCGTAAGGTCATCGAAAAAGAACGCATCTTTCACCTTGCGAATTGCTGGTAGGTATGCTCGTTCAGCAGCGTAGTATTTTTCCCATGCAAACGTGTCCGTCCTGCATTTAGCGGTGCGATACATGCGTTTCTTTTTGTTTTCTAGTCTTTTGAGCGAAATATTAAACCATGGTTTTTGTTCAAGCGTTTGAAAGGTAATTTTTGGTATGTACCGGTTCGCTAAGTTGTTTATTTTCTCTTTGAATATCAGCCAATTTTCATTAACGGTGCGGTTATGAAACGTACCTTGGAAGAGAGGTAGAAAATTTTGTAAATGTTCACATATTGCATCATAATTACCTTTGTCGTATGAATGTATAGTTATTTCGCGCTTATGCCGCAAAGCTGGAGCAAAGCAAAAAGAAGCATGGATGACCTTGTGGTCGCTTATATCTCTAAGAAAGGTAATGGACGACAAACTGTCCGGACAGTTGACCAGTACTAGGTCTAAAGTGTTTTCAGTGTCTTGGGTAACACGGGTCGGCTCTGATACAAGTTGTTTTAGATTGAAGTTGAGGCAAACGTCCAGAAAATCCCTCGCTTCGGTTTGGCTTACTAAAAAGGGTACGGTGCTCCGCCAATCAATGTCTGGCAGGTGAAAGTCTCCAAAAAGAAGAAGGTTGGCATTTGGGTGCCGAGAGCAAACGAAATTTAGTGCATTGTTCAGTTTACGAGCGAAGTCGGTGCTATTGCGCGGAGGTTTGTAACAAACACCTAAAATTGTTATTGTGCATGACAAGATGACATATTCTTATTATAGATTAGAAAAAAAAGTGGACCGAGGGCTGGGCCCTGTGGTACACCGCAATTTATTGAACTTTCATCGAAATTAGTTCTATTAGCTGAGACAAATCGGAAGCGCTTAGTATAAGGAAACTTTCGATCAAGGTTACGAGGCAGGGATCAAGTTTAGCAAACGTAACTTACAAATGAGCAGGTTGTGGCACACCTTGTCGAAAACTGTAGAAGAACCAATAGGAAAATACAGTCGACAAAAGATCTGTTGCGAAGAAGGGACGTTAGTATATGTACGAATACGTTATTTATGTTTCGCCGTAGTATCATTTGCGAAATCCACGTTGCGAATATGTGAAAAATGAGTATGTCTCTAAAAAAAATATGCTGTACAGGAGAAGCAAGAGAGGGTATACTAATCAACGAAATGGAGCTGCAGTGTAAAGAAAAATGCTTGTTACCGAATTTGTGGATTGGAACTACCTTCCAGATTTTCCAATCAGATGGAAGAACACCATCGGTAAGTGATTGTGACAAATTTTTAATAAGGATGAAAACTAGCTAACCTCCCTTTTCTTCCTCCTTCCCTTCTCCTCCTCCTCCTTTTACTAAATGTTATCAATGAATAGCACAGAGTGCTTTGTATAAGCTTGATAATTATATGATCGCTACCCGATTCCGAAGATTAATTTAGGGACTTCATAGTGCTTGCGATACCATCGTATCTGACAATGACAGTGAACATTTAATCGTGGGGTCATGCGGTTGAATAACGGGAAGAATGGCGAAAGTAGGCAAGAGATTTTTTATATTAGATAACGGCATTTAGAATGTTGAAGCATTGGATAATAAACAGCATAACCTCTAAGGTTGTTAAGTACGACGACATCGTTGTCTTCTGTATTAATCACGGATCAATTTTTTAGGGTTAGTCTGTAGTATGAAAGGCAAGGTGTTGGCCTAGGAATCAATCTTTGGCGATATTTAAGGCATGTGCGTATTATCAGCGCTCTCTCTGTGAGCTAACCAACGAGCACCATTAATAATAATTTCAGACGTTTCTTCTTGTTGGACAAGCGTTATAGCTAGGGACTATGCTTTTGGTTCTTTTTGTGTGTTTGGGGGGTGGGGGTGGGGGTGGATAAGATCTTTCTTCGATGGAGGCGAAAATGCTGTAGGCCTATGTGCTCAGACAAGGGTGCACGGTAAAGAACCCCAGGTGGTCGCTATTTGCGGAGCCGTCCACTACAGCGTGTCTCATAATCATGTGGTGGTTTTGGGACGTTAAATCCCACATAACAAGTTGACACGTGGTCAATAGTTTCCGATTTGTTACAGATTAGGCATTGAGATCTCCATGGCGTATAAAAGCCATGCTCCTCTAGAAAAGTTCCTGCAGGAAGCGTTCTGGTGTGTAATATATAAAAAAGAACGTTTTTGCACTTGGAGCTGCCGGCATTTTTAAAACTCGTTTAAGTACGTTCTGAACCTTGGGTGCTGTATACTGCGCTATGTATAGTGGGATGTGGAGCATAGTGTCACATGAAGCTTTGTATGGTTTTTTCCTTTCCAATGGACCACAGGTAGTCAGTTGAAAAACGAACACACGAAAACCACACGCTGGCCACAACTTCCCTTATGTAGCTTTGCACAGACCCTGTGGAGTCACTGAGCAACACCGGTGCTTAGGGACTTGTTGGCAAACTTGCCTTAGGCACGCTGGATGCCGGGAAAGAAATCACGTTAACATGAACAATAAAGCGTTTTAGAACAGCAAAAAGCAACCAGGCGTCACACAAAGCGAAAAGCCTAACGAGTGGGTCATCCAATGCTCCAACCCATTACAAAAGCTTGTTCTTGATCACCTGTTAAATGTGGCGCGTACCCACTTCAGGCATATTCCACATCGTCGCCAGCCATTGCATGAACAATTGTCACAAAATTCCTAGTAGGTGTTTAGCGGATACCACGCTTCTCAGAAGAATGACATCGAATAGCATAGCGAATGCCGGCCTACTACCAAGATATTGTTAATAATGCCGTAGCGAATATCCAGCAAGTTTACTCGCAGCAGTTACCCCACGTGTGTTTAGAAAAGGCTGCGAATGGCCACCCTTCTAGCTTTCACTGTGACTGTGCTGCGCCTTCCGCGCAGGCCAGGCGTTTTTTTTTTTTTTCGAGTTGGAGCTCCAAAATATATTTTTGTACTCATCCTTAGAACAAATAATTACGAGTATAAAAAAGCTGTGATAATGATAATAGTCAGTTTCTTTTAATCAAGGTTTTGATGAGTGAGATGAAAGGAAGTAACTTTTGGTACTTAAATTAAATGGAAAGGGTAGGATACACAGGATAGGCTAATAGAGGAAGACCATTCAATGTAAGTTTAACGATAAATTCTCGCATTTATGCATTATTGCCAGGCTGTTGCAATGCTTACGCCAGTTACTTAGTACTCACAATGAGAACAATTTCTTCGTGACAGAGAATTTCACATGGAAGTAGGCACTTTACAACTTACCTGAAATGTTCGGGAGTATACCTTGTTCCAAAAATCACAATAGGGCTCAACAAGCCATTCGGGTTTATGCAGTTGGTTAGTTTGAGCAATTCGAAACAATGGAGGGTTCTGGAGATGTCTGGAAGGCACAATACAGTAGCAAGTGATCAATGTGTTTGCACTTAAATGTCACAATATTGCAAGTATGATACGGCTATGAAGGAGTTCCGTTCATTATCGAAGGAGATGCCTTTAAATGTACAGCCGGTGTGCATATGAACATGTGGGATTATGGGGTAAAATGCAGTGCATAAAGAGGGCACACAAAAGAAGGAGGACGCAGGACAAACGCTGATCCTTGTGTGTCGTCTTAATGCGCTGCGTTTTACACCATCAAGCTAAACCAACTCGACCAGATGAGAGATTGATTCGGCGAATAACAGAATGCAAATTCCTATTGGCGGCTGTTATTGATGGAATTATTAACATAAAACAGGCAATATTTTTCCACAGTGAAAGCTGTTATGAGATCACAACTCGGGTCACACGCCACCGCAGCTGTCCGCCACCGCTGCCACTGCCACCGGTGTCCGTAGCCACATCACACGAAATTAGAAAAAAATAAACTTAGCGTAAATGCCACTAGTGGAGCTCGAACCCGAATCCGCTGGGTGCCAGCCCAGTATTCTATCTCGGAGCTACGCCAATGCTTCGGACTTGTTGGTAAACTTGCCTTATGTGTGCAGGCTTGATTTCGGGAAATCAATCGCGTTAATACAACTTATAAAGCGTTTTAAAACAGTGAACAACCTGTCGTCGCACGGTGTGAATAGCGTAACGAGTGAGTCGCCTAATGCTCCAACTTAATACAAAAGCTTGTTCTTGTTCACCCAGTAACTGTTGCGCATACCCATTTCAGGCATAATTCTTCATCGTTGTCAATTATTGCAAGAACAATTGGCACAAACTTCCTTGCAAGTGTTTAGCGGATACCACACTTCTCAGAAGAACGATGAAAAATAGCATAGCAAATGCCGGCCCACTACCCAAAAGTTTAGAATTAATGCCCTAGTAGGTATCAGGCAAGTGTGCTTGCAATAGTTACCGAATGAGTGTTTAGAAAAGGCTCTGAAAGGCCGCTCTTCTAGCTTTCGCTGTGACTGTGCTGCGCCTTACGTGCAGGCCTGGCGTTTTTTTTTTTTTTTGTACAGTGCACTTTTTTCTTCTTTTATTATGAATAGCAAGTGGAGCTGCGAACTAAATAGAGGAAAGTCTGCGTTCCGAAAGTTAGTTGGAATTCCGCCCTTCAGAGGGGAACCATTTACCACTTCTCCCACGAAGCACGAAGTCAGCGAGAACGAGTTTGTGCTGCGTGTGTGTGTTTGGGAGAAAAAGGGAAGGGAATTGTAGCTGTGCATGGATGTTGAGACTGCCTGTTGGCATAACCTCCCTACGCCCGTTAAGAAACTCCTGTAACCGCTCATGATGATGCCGTATTCTGTGACTCCACAAGAATCTTGATTAACTGGCGTTCCTAAACTTGTAGCTAAATCTAGCTGCACCGGTGTTTAAGCATTTGACCCCTTGCAACTATGGCCACCAACCGGGAATCGAACCCATTACCTCGAACTTAGCAGCGCCAGTCCTGCTAAACCGCGATGGCGTCAAAACAACGGGGCGACTGGTTAAATACCTGCTTTTGAGGGTGATGACGCTGAGGGGCGTAGCAGGATAAATCTAGCGCTTGTAATATCGTCTCTCGCACTACACCTTCCAAATAATTTGTCAGCTCTGTGTATTGGGGGGCCATGAACGTGTCCATTTTACGTTGTAAAGTGTGCATTCGCGACCGCGTGCATAGGTTCACAAAGGGCGACTGGTTACCAGACTAGACACACACAACCCCCAGACACGCAACCCACCTTTTTTTTTTGTACCGAGCGCTTTTGGTTGCAAACCATTTAACTGAAACGGCAAAAACGTGGCACAAACATGGCAGTTCTCGCACTGAAGAGGTGCTCTAGTTTTCTTATTTGCAAGCAGCGCTCCCTTTTCTTGCATACTTCAAAGAAGCAGACAGAGTACTCACTCCTCAGGTAATTGGCGTCCTCTCTACATATCAAGGTGATGCTCGCACTTACTGCGTCCTCAAAACGTGTAACAAGATTTTTCTGGTTCGGGCTGCAGTCCTCCGTTGAGTAAGTCGAGGCGCACATGCCATGCGGTCGCCTGGAAAAATAACAAATGGTTTAGTACAAGCGACATGTGTACGTGAGCTCTATAAAGATAGTGTTCTCACCCACGTCGCCCCGCACGGTCGGTCATTTAGGTGAGCTGTTGGAAAGGTTGTGAGCAAAGTGTCCAGATGGTGGACGCTCACGCTGTGAGTCTTTTGCCTTATGTTTCAATTCACTGGTTATTTTTGTGCGCCGCGGTCATGCGGGTCTACATTTTGTTCGCTTATATGGAGTGCTCCGAACGTAATTAAGCTCAAAAATAAAAATTTGGCAGAAGTCTGCCTGGTTTGCATACAAACTGAAGAAAGAGTAAATCCTAACCAAAACATAATAGAAAAAACCAGACGTTCACAAGCCGGTCCGGCTTCTTCCTCATGGGTGAGAAGGCTCGAGATATGCGGTGGTTGCTTGCCGTGCGTGAGAGGCTCGCCGTGACTCTTTGCAAGCCGTGACAGTACAGAGAGGGCAATGTCTCCGTGGAACGGTTGATGTTTAAAGCTGTCTGCTGAAAGTGCCAGGATTCGAGCAAGAGTCACCGGCGAGGTTTTCTTTCTTTTTCCAGCGATAGTGTTGTCACTGTTGCATCTTGATGTGTACCCTCACCCCCTCACAATATATTTTCCTCTTTCTCCTTTCTCCTCCTGTCCATCAGTGTTATTGCATCCCGCACCGACCAAATCAGCGCACGTGTTCTGGGAGCGAAGCAGAAGATGCAGTAGAGGACTGAAATAGTGCGTGGAGGTAAATGATGATGCTGTTCCCACCATCCGGAGCAAGGAAAACCTTGAACAGCTCCGCTGTTGAAAACGTCGCGAAAAGCTCTGACCATTGCCCCACGTCCACCTGCTGGGTATATATCTATACAAAAACAACCAATCATCGATCAACATCTTCACCCAGCATGTACCCCATTTTCCTTTGAATACGACTGCAACGACATTTAAAGCATGGTTAGGTCAGCACCATGGAGGAAAAGGTGGTGCTGTATGGTTCGAGTACCTTCCAAAGAAGATAGAGCAACCTTACGGTAAGATGGAGACGTCTTAGTATCTCACTAGGAACAGCTATTCGTTGTTGTGACCCACGACAGCCCCTCATGATAGTTGCGTTGCAACACTGTAAAACATTTCTCTGGTTGTTTCTTAACAGTGAAGTTGTCCTTGGTCGAACCTTCCAAGTTCGGGATCCATGGTAACGCTTGGGGAGACGATAAACGTGCGTAGCCACAGGCATTGGTTATTTCCTACTGCTCACCAACCGTTATCCCAACAGACGGGTACGTGCTACAGAAATCTTTGCGGCTCATCAGAAAACTATCCTCCTTATAAAAACGTATGTGGCAATAAATCACAGGACACCCAACTTCCCCTAAAAAGGAAAACATAAAAATAAAAGGCAACTGAAGCAACCGTTTTCTTAACAAGTGGCATACGCATTGCAATATAGTCAAACCACTTTCACATGACACTCTTCGATTATAAAAGGTGCTGTTTGTACTGACATCTCGAAGCTTAACGAAGAGTGTGTAATCAAGAGCATCTAGACAACACATCGGAGCATTTCAAGTGAAGGCTTCTTTGAAAACAGTATATAAGAGTGGTATGGTCTAAAGATGCAAAAAAAAAAGCGAACATTTACCACTGCCTGAAAGCTTCCCCAAAGAGTGTTCAATGAAGAGCCGTGGTACAAGCTATCTTAAGGACTTGCAAAACACAGAAATGCGTTAGCGTGACGAAGGGAACGCCATAAGCTCCGCTGTTTTATTGGTGTCCAAGAATCGGAGCTGCTTGAAATTTCATTCGCAGCAACATCCAAATCTTTTATCTATATAAAATTATATGAGCATCGCTTTAGTTCATTTATACCTCTTGTGGGAAAACCACGCTTCGGAGTTTAAAGGCACCAAATGAAGGAGACGCAAACGCCAGCATCCATGGTAAAAAAGTGTGTTCTCTTTTCGGCTGGACTCTTCCTCTTCCTCGTCGTTCTCCGTCTCTTGGTGCGCGCGCTATTCGCGCGGGAGGTTCAAACAATTTCCAACATCCTCCGCGCCCGAAAGTTCAATCGCCCAGCTCCAACGGGCATAAAAGTTGTACTGGCCTCGTAACTTCCGTACCTCCTGCCAAGACAATCTTGCAGGCTCTAACGTGATTATCACTTGATAAGTACACGTCAGTAACTCTACCAACTTTCCAAAAAGTTATGGGCACCTTGTCTTCCTTAATGACGACTACATCGTTAACCTTAAGCTGGTTGCAAGGCTGTACTCGCCTAATGTGTGCACTTTTCAAGCACAAGAGGTAGTCTTTATACCAACGCTTCCAAAAATCAGCCACTATTTGCTGCCTGTACTTCCAATGCTTTAAAGTATCGGAGCGAGTTCCCGACGTTTCAGCAGTATTAGCACTAGGCAGTGTAGTAGACTTCCTACCGGTTAGAAAGTGCGAAGGTGTAAGTACAGCTGGATCGGTAGCGTCAGCGGAGAGGTACGTTAATGGCCTAGAATTCACTACATTTTCTACTTCGGCAAGAATGGTCACAAGCTGCTCGAAATCAAAGCAACCTTTCCCTAGAATTTTCCGTAGGCAGCTTTTAACAGTGCGAATCATCCTCTCCCAAAATCCACCCCACCAAGGACTACGTTCTGCAATGAATTTCCAGGTAATGTGGTTAGTAGAGCAAAAGTCCTGTACTTGGAAGTCTCTCAAAGCTCTGTACATCACTTTTAAGTCGCGACTGGCAGCATGAAAAGCTAGAGCATTGTCGGAATAAATAACACTAGGCAAGCCGCGTCGCGACACAAACCGACGGAAAGCCATTAAAAATGACCCCGCCGTCATATCGGAGCACAACTCCAAATGGATCGCCCGAACGACGGCACACGTAAAAATAACGATATAGGCCTTCACGGGACTGGTTCCTTTCACAAAAACGGGACCAGCAAAGTCAACACCCACAACTTGAAAAGGGTGTGATCTCTTAACCCTGTCGGTCGGCAGTGGTGCGGTAGGGGCTGTTGCAGGTTGGAGCTTGAATCTAGCACACACTTTGCACCTAGAGAGCACTTTTTTCACACACTGGCGGCCCTTAATCACCCAAAAACACTCGCGTAGCTCTGAAAGGGTATCGTTTACACCACTGTGCAGCAGGCGCCGGTGCGTGCGGTCGATGATGAGGTATGTGCAGCGGTGGTCAGCTGGTAGTAGAATCGGGCACCTCACGTATTCTGATGTTTTTACGTTGTCAAGCCGGGTCTTGATTCTTAAAATCCCATCATTGTCCAGGAATGGATGCAGATTACGAATTCGGGATGCCTTAGCTAATGGTTGGTTTTTTAACAATGAGGCGAGTTCTATACTAAAGGCTTCCGCTTGTGCATTCTTCATCCATGTAAACTCGCCTTCTTTTATCTCAGGGGCAGTGAGTGGGCCCATCAGACGACGACTGGTGTGCACTCGACAATTGTGAATAAATCTTCGAATCCAAGCTGTGATTCTAACAACTCGTATCCAGCTGCTGTACTTGTCGAGCTCGAAAAGTGGCTCTGCTTGCGAGCATTGACAAGCCAAAACTGTTGTGTCTTCGTCGTTTGATCTACATAGTTCATCCGTTGACTCATGAGGACCAGCTTCACTTGCCGGCCACGTTTCTTGGGTACCAGATAGCCAGTCAGGCCCATGCCACCATAAATCGCTAGTACAAAGGTGATGCGCTGATATCCCTCTTGTAACTAAGTCGGCTGGGTTTGTCTTTCCAGAGCAATGTCTCCAGCGACTCGGGTCTGTGAGCCCTTGGATCTCAATTACCCTGTTACAAACGAAGGGCTTCCACTTGGTGGCTGTAGACTTGATCCAACTCAAGCAAACTTGGGAGTCGGTCCAGCAGAAGTATTCTATATTTGTGTGTGGCAAAGTATCCACAAGTAGCTTAAGAAGTCGAGCTCCAAGAACCGCAGCGACGAGTTCCAGGCGTGGTAAAGTGAGACCCTTGATTGGAGCGACCCGAGACTTAGCGAGCAGCTGCTGGAGTCGAACCGCTCCGGTACTGTCTTCCACTCGTATGTATGCCACTACTCCGTAGGCACACGGGCTAGCGTCCGTGAATATATGCAGCTGGTGAGTGCTTTTATCAGGGCTGCTGTTGTCTAGTTGATACCTCTTGGTTCTAAAGTCTTTGAGGTCTTGAAGTTCGACAGTCCACTTGTCCCACTCGATCTTCAATGTCTCGGGGAGAACGCTTTCCCAATCGAGTCCTTGCATCCATATCTTCTGAAAAAGTATTTTAACTCGAATGGTGAACGGTGCTAGCAGTCCCAAGGGGTCGAAAATTCGTGATGAAGCCTGAAGCACAGTTCGCTTGGTACAAAGTCCCGGTTTTAAGACTTTCGTCACAGAGTCAATTTTCACCGAAATGGTGTCGTCGGTGTAGTTCCAGGATAGCCCAAGAACCTTAGATTGTGTGACCTGCTCAGCTGACGTCTCTCCTGCTTGCTTGAGCTTCTCTCTTAACAGGTCGCAGTTTGTTGACCACTTCTGCATTTTCATTCCGGCCAGCTCCATTATGGCCTTCGTCTCTTCGTAGAGTTGTAGCGCTTCTTTTGTCGTTGAAGCTCCGAAAACTAGGTCATCGACGTAGAAGCTTGCCTTCAGTTTTGCGGCCGTTACTTGGTAAATTTGTTCAACGTGATCGAAATGGTATTTCAACGTTGCAGATAATAGGAAAGGGCTTGCGGAGGTGCCGAATGGAACTCTGGTCATTCGCATTTCTTGTATTTTTGGCAGTGGTCTGCCTGACATTGGTAGCCCTTCAAACCACAAGAAACGAAGAGCATCTCTGTCTTCTTCTCGAATGCTGATTTGTAGAAACGCCTTCTGCACGTCTGCTGTAATTCCGATGGCGAAAAGGCGAAACCGGATCAAAACCTTGAAAAGGTCAGCATTCAGATTAGGACCTTTTTCGAGTTGTTCGTTGAGAGAACAAGCTCCT